GGTGGCATACCAAGGCCGTGAAATACCTTTTTAGCGTCCGTAGACAAAAATTATCGCCGAGGCCGCTTGCGGCCGAGGCAAGATAATCTCGAGGACGCTAAAAAGTTTCGCGATCAAAAGTTGCAGAAAAACTGTATGGATTTGACAAGGATTTGACACATTTTGCACGTCAGGTGTGGCGGCCGCGAAATTGAAATTTGCGGACGGTTGCACAAAAAATAATAATAAAGTATACCATTTTCACTTATTATTGGCGTAGCATTATCCATGGAAATTTGACAGGTTGACCCTCGTATAATAATGACATTTGATGATAAATTATTTTTCAAATTTCAGGGTTATGAAACAGAAAGCCGAGTTGCCGCAGCAATATGGAAGAGTTGTGGCGAGCTTTTATCAAACAATGTTCTGAGATTTTTCCGTCACGATATTCTTCTTCTTCCTGGTCCTCTCTTTCCAAATATCTTCCTTTGCAGGATCGATTGTTGTCCCATAGTTGTTTTATGATCATTTTTGTGTCGAAGTATACATTGTGTTTAATCAACCATTCCTGCATTTTGTCTTTCTTTGAAGAGAATGAAGGTGGTTTATCCTTCTGCTCTGAATGATATGGAGCGTTGTCCATGATTATTACTATTATTCTCTTCAAATATATTCAATGCAGGAATTAGTTGATCAATGACCCAATTTTGGAAGATGTCCGCGTTCATGGTATTGTGGTACTCTCTGTCATTGTTTCTTGAATCTAGAAAAAAATCGCACCCATCCTGCATCCATAAACCCAGAACTACTCCCCGCATGCAAAATAGTAAAACGTTTCCCCTCTGACTTAATTTTGGATGGCTGGCTTTCCATATCAGATTCGTGTATCCATCGACGAACTTGAGATCCGTTTTGGTAGATCCAAGTTTCATCTCTAAATACACGAATCTGATATTTTCGTTTGAATGTTTATATTGGAGGTATTTCCGCAAAAATGTAATTTTGGCAGCAAGAACATGTTTCTGCTCACATAAAATGTTGCGTCCATTTACTGCTTCAAATTTATATCCCATAGATTTTAAAATTTTATATAAACTTGTTTGCCCTCCCTTAAATTCCAAATTTTCTTTTGCGTATGTCAGTTATGTTTGTAATGTAAAATATTCATTTTAGAATTGTATTTCCAAATTTGTCGTTGTAAATCTTCTTTAAACATTTGATCCATAATAGTCTCTGTCTTTTTTGGTCGGCCTTAAGTTTTTTTGATTGTATATTGTCCAGTCAAAATTCTTTGAATAGTCCTGGTTCCCACCTGAAATTTAAGGCAAATGTTGGTTGTCGCATTTATTCGAAAAAAAATTTTTTTTACTTTTTAGTAATTTCCGAGGTAATTTCCTACCAAAAATCTCTTCTCTATCTCTCTCTAACATATTAAGTTCTTATGGAAAGTGTCAATAATATAAATTTTTTCAATAAGTGTAATACGTCATTGGTTTTGGGACATTAGAAGCTTATAAAATCTAGAATAAAAAATAGGGGTCCGTATTTAAAAAAATGAAAGTTGATGATGGTAGCTCAAAGGCGAAACGTCATATTTTAAATTTGAAGCTAGCATCTTATAGGGGACAAAAAGTGGTTATAATTAAGTGACATTTTTTTTTGAAATATCACTTCAAATAAAGTCAGGAAAAAATAAAAACAATTTTACAAAATTTCGTTTTTTTCCGGATATCTCCGGAATTATTCGGAATATCCCAAATATCAAAGCGGCATTTTGTTAAGCATCAAATTACGCAACTTTGCCCTAATTTAACCAACCCTGTAACTTTCACCGTTTCCGAGATCCCAATGATGTGGCGCGAATTTGAAACACCCTGTACATTTAAGTCGAGGGGTCAACCACTCTGTAAAAATTTGTACACGTATTGCGGAAATGTTGGTATTTCGCAAGTATTTCGCAAAATTCAAAGTATTTCGGTGGTGGTAATTCGAACCTAGTTTTTTGTGGTATTGCCGAGTACTTCGAAGTATTTGGAGGTAACTCGAAGTATTTCGAGGTAATTTGAAGTATTTCGAGGTAATTCGAAGTATTTCGCGGTAAGCCGAGGTATTTCGAGCTCTTTAAAAGTAGTTTTTTTTATGTACCGAGAACAATTAATTCTTTATCACTCAAAATTGGAATATTATAGAATGAGAATTATAGTCCATCTTCGAACAGGCTGAATATGTTGACATACTTTGAATTTACTGCAGATTAATTGAAACAAATGGAAAGACATACTAAGTATATACCTGATATGTATTAGTAATCAATGTCAGTTAGTTAATAGTATGTAGGGTCATCCAACGATGACTGAACAGAGGATTATTTTTGACTTTTCCTGTATTTTTGAGAAAATTCAAAATAGCCAATTGGATTTTCTTTCTCTGGAGAACTCAAAAATGGTAACCAAAAACCAAAGTTACTTACGCCATGGTCCATAGATGAGCTGTTTTTTAAATGGAACACCCCGTTTTTTGTGTGATTTTTGGAGAAGTCACATTTTTTACATCTATTCTGTTGAAAATATTTGATATTCCGATAGCTGTTTTTATTTTATTTTACTGTTTTATTGTTATTTATTTTTGCTTTGCCTGTTTAATACATAGCAACAAAATACAAAGATTATACCTTTATCACTTATGAACCAAGCATAAAACATTAAAATAAAAACAGCATTCGGAAAATCATCAAATTCTATTTAAGAAACAGTTTATCCATGGCGTAACTCTTTGGTTTTTGGTACAAACGATTTTTTGGTACCATTTTTGAATTCTCCAGAAAAGAAAAAATATTCCAATTTGCTATTTTGGATTTTCTAAAAAATACAGGAAAAATAAAATCCATCATATCATATCTAAAGACACAAAAATCCGAGCAAAAATACTTCACTGCGATCTGCAAGAAGAATCGTTATCAAGGATAAATTTTTTAGAAGTATTGCGGGACTTTGTGTGGTAATTCCAGGGTATTTTGCGTAATTCGACGGTAATTCCATGGGATTTCGCGTACTTCGACGGGAATACGTATTTCGAGGTACTTCAAGGTATTTCTAGGTACTTCGAAGTATTTCGGAGGTAATTCGGGCCAAGTGTACAGTATTTCGGGAAGTGGTTGACCCCTCGATTTAAGTTATACCTACCTCAAATATATCTGCAAGTTGGGCTTCAATTGTTCCCTGGAGAGCCTCTGGTTTATTAGTTAGGTACCGTTTATAATATAGCATTATTGAAAAATGCATTGAAAAATGTGTCAAATTTGATTTGCCAGATAGGCCAGAAAATTTTAATACCGCGGCACCTACGAGATTATGTAAACCACACTTAAAACTGTCTGGAATTTGACATATACCGTCATTATTATACGAGGGCCAACCTGCCAAATTTCCATGGATAATGCTACGCCAATAATAAGTGAAAAGCAAATATAAATAATATTTTACATAGAATTTATAACAATAAATATTCCGAAACTGGTGTTTAGAATTCGGAAAGTAATATAAGTACATGTCACTAAATAAGACCAATACAAATTTAAATCTTACTTTTTTTATATCTTAGTAGACCAAAAAATTGCAAATTTGTGCTCTACAAAAAAGGTTTCTTGCAAATTTTTCAAAAAACTTGTTGATTTTGAGAAAATTGCAAAAAACCTAAAAAATTTACCTTTGGGGGTTGTTTTGGGGTTGCGCCCCCTATCGGATTTTTTGAGATTTTTAGCGAGTTATATAAAACCTCAAAAGAAACACAATGACGCAAAAATTACCTTGTAGCGAATTTGTTTGAGGTTCACCTCAAAATTAGCCTAGTTTTACTAGCCTAAAAGGAATTATCGTTGATTCGCAGCACGGTTTTAGAGGGGGTTGTTCTACACTAACAGATTTGCTTGTATACCATAGCATGTTGTTGGATGCCTTGAAATGGGGGTAGCAAGTTGAAACAGTGTATACAGATTTCTCCAAGGCATTTGATAGGGTAAATCACTTGTTATTGATTGAAAAGTTAAAAAATAGGTATGGGTTTTTCTGATAGATTATTAGAATGGCTGCTTAGTTTTCTTGGTGATAGAAGGCAAGTGATTAAAATTGGTCATTTTATATCTGAGAGGATTGAGGTATCTTCTAGGGTTTCTCAGGGAGGACACTGCTCTCCATTACTGTTCAATCTGTTTGTTAATGACCTTAAAAATGTATTTTTTCAATTATTGCATAGATATCAGTTTATAACAAAAAGACCTTGATGACCTTTCTCAGTTGTGTCAGAGTAATTTGCTAGACTTGAATATAGATACTTAAATGTTTTTAAATTTCTTTCGACAGGAAAGGAAATAGAACCATCATGTTACACAATCAACGGGCAGAAACTTAAGATAAATGATGTGGCTTAAGACTTGGATTAGCATACTGTTTGGTTCTAAATTGGGTTGTCTTTGCAGGCGGTGAAATCAGTATATTATTGGGTTAGTGAGATCACAACTTGAGTATGGGTCAATTGTATGGACTCCCCAGTATAATGTCTATAAGTAACTGCTGGAGAGTATGCAAAAAAAATTCTTCTGCTTTCATTGGACTACAGGAGAACAATGTTTGACATTTGCTTTATTTACAAGTTATTAAATTAATTTTATTCTTTCCAGATATTATCACCACAAGATCACAAGTTAAATTTTCAATTCCCCAAAAAGTGCTTAGACAAAATAGGTTATTTTCTATTGGGTTCCATAGGACCAATTACGGCTCGAATAACGGTAGAAACTCCTTTCTGGAAAGATCACCACCTACTGCGATGTAATATATCCTACTTATATTTTTCTATTTTGTTTCTAGCCCTAATTTTATTGTGTGTTTTCATGAATATGTATAGTGTAGGTACTTATGTATTGGTTGAGTTGAATTTACTCCTTTGACTTAATACACAGTCAAGCCACTATTTATTTGGAAAAAACTTCAGAAAAACGGGCAAAAGGCTTGGTATCTTACCTTCAACCTTTTCCTGGATGCAAATAATGATGTCACAAAACGAACTTAACAAAATTGAAATAAGTATAAACGTAAATCGTCATCATTGCATTGTTTATGAGAAATAACTTCTTATTTACTATCCAGAAAGATAACAGCAACAATTGAATTGTAATCGAATTACATCGCAGAACCGAGAACACAAAACGATTTGTGTTGCAATGTGAAATGTAAGGTAACTACTAAAAAACTCTAGTTTTCACTCATTGATGGTATCTTTGAATTGATAGAAAAACAGACTTTATTTTAATTAGATTTTACGCAAACAACTACTCCCCTATACTCCCCCCGCGTCGCGTAACTACTGCGAAATCGATTGACGCACGAGATCGTAGCGCAGCGCAAGCAGAATAAACACTCTCTATTTAAAGAACAATTAGATAACTGGCTAAATTATAACAAATTTTATTTAATAATTAAGTTTTTCTACGTTTCAATAATAGTTCTAAATAATAGGTATTAAAAGTATTAATAGAACTATTTCAATCCATATCCAAATCAACCCGACCAACATATACCACCTGAGTGGAAAACAAACAAAAACAAAAACAAAAACAAAGCAAAGGCTTTGGACGCAAAGCAAAATGCTGTGTCAGTGTGCACTGTGTTTTATTAGTATCATGGTACGTGCAGTGCAGCGCGCAGCGTGCTCATAATGTAGGGCGGTGGTACTGTGAATCCTTGGTACTATGGTAGGTAAAGTAAAGACGAGGGCTAGGTGATAGATACCGTGATATTCATGACGTCACGTCACACAAAGAATCTATCAAATTATCGCCCGATAGGAACTTCTCGCAGTTCTCGCGTACCTCTCGCCATCGCCAGAATATTTACTTACTACTAAGGATATCACACACTACTCAGGATTGCTTATCGGCTTCGATTTTTGAAATTGAGGTCAAAATATGGTGTAGCACCGTTGTCGACGTCATCAATGGTGTCGTTAGTGTTTGCGCCAGCGATCTCAAAAACAACTGACGAGTGACGACACCGTTGATGACGTCGACAACGGAGCCCATGTAACCTTGATTTCAAAAATTCAGGCCAATAAGCAATCCTGTAGTAGTTAGTAGTGTGTAATATCCTTGTCGTTTTACAGTTGTTGTTGTTTGAGACGAATGCCGTGAAAATAACTGATTTTCGTTTAGTGACAATCCACCTATTCTTGGTTTATATATTTTTTCAGTAAATGATGTATTTATTTTTGTTATTACATTTTCACGACTGTAAAACTGCAGGGACACGGCATTTTGAGACCAATGAGCGACATTGCATAAACGATAAACTTACAAAATTTCGTACAGTTTTTCCGAATCAGTTAATCCGTGGTTAATGGTTAATCCCCCCGGGGTGCGTACAAAGACGGCAATGCTTATGCCAAAACTTACTTTTCCCCCTCCACCGGTAATGCCGAACCACGTAGGTTGGAGCCGAACTCGCAACCCCGAACGACGAGTGGATTGCGTTTCCAACCTTCCTTACGGTTACACGTTCCGTAATGGACACGCAAACCCAAAGTTTTTCTACGTATCCGTATTCGTAAACGCATCGACTCCTAAAATTTGTCATCATGGCTATACATTACGTAAACAATCGAATCCTTGGATGAAACGTTTTCTAACCTGAAAAAATTGATTTTGTAGCTGTGTAACTTTTTATTGATAACTGACACGAAGATCTAAATAGTATCCAAAGGTTGAGGTTGAGATCAGGTTTCTGATGCGGTTACGAAGCTAGACCTGTTAACGATGCGGACAACGGAATGCAACGAAACCACCGTATCTATTCTGCGCATGCGCAGATACATGCAGATACGGCGAAGTTTGAAATTTAGGACCTGCTTAAAATGTCTAAGTCTGGTGCCTGGAAACCAGAGGCGTTTTCTCGGGTCTACTTTTTTGAAACTAGTTCAAAACTGTTTCGAAACAGTACATTCTCGCGATAAACCCATGACGTCACGTCAAAATTGGTTCAAACCGTTTCGGAATACTATCCAATCCACGTTTTCAAATCATTTTCTCGCGCCGAGAAATTATGACGTCATGTTGACATTACTTAAACCAGTTTTGAAAAATGTTTTGAAACATTTGAGACGCGAGAAAACGCCTCAGTCCATACGGAACGCGGTTCCTGATAATGGTTGTGTCAAAAATGTCACCGAGACAACCGGCAATCGCCGATCGGTTTTTCGGTAACTGTCACCCTTTCTCTTTCGTTTCTGGAAAAGCGTTCCACATTTTCAGAAACCACTGCAACCGACGAACCGACCAGTTCAAGAATCGAAAACTAGCATTGCTTATCCTACTAAGGGCGGGTATTATAAAACTGCTTCGACAGTTAACTTAAAGTTAACTTTTTGAATTACATGTAATTCCAGAAGTTAACTTTCACTTAACTCTCAAAGTAGTTTTATAATACCCGCCCTAAGGCTTACGTTCGCCAATTCTCGAGTCGACAGCTGGTCTGCAAGCGACGTCACCAGTATCGGCAGCTGATAGTGGTGACGTCACCCGCAGACCGCGATGGCTTGTTTGCGATTCAGGCTGTGCTTGTGAGTTAATTTTTTTCGTCGATTTTAATTGTAGAAAAGGTGATTTTAACGTTTAAAGCCGGAGTCTCATGCATTCGTTTTCCGACCAAAGATGTCCGAAAAACCTTCTATTCTGATATAATCGTATAAAAATATGCCAAAATAGAACGTTTTTCGGGCATCTTTCGTCGGAAAAGGGATGCATGAGACTCCGGCCTTAACAGTCGCACCTGGAACAGGGGGTTCAGGCAATGACCCCAGCAGGGCCGGTCCTAGCCCCTCTGCCGCCTTTGTGCGGACATGAAAAAGCCGCCCCTATACAAAACAACTATACATTTTTTAGTGAATAATATTTTAATTAAATTAAGGCTTCCCATTAATGAAAAATCGGGTACATAGGGTAGGAGGATTAACTTGAAACCCGTAAAATACCTTAGACGAATAGCCCGCCGCAGGCGCCGCCCGGAGGCAAAATTTATTTAATCGTTAATTTTAGACCTTCAAACAAAGTTTTTCTTTCCAGTGGCAGGCCTAAAAACTTTTATTTCAAGCCTAAAAAAATAATGTGTGTATCTATGGAATATGCGGTAAAACACGGGTAACTTAAAAAAATTCATTCATTCAAATATTTGCGGAGACTGACTACTCCTATTGATAAGTCCTCTGTGAAGTAAAGCGAATTCGCAAGATTTAGAATTTAGGGCAAAATTAATTAATTAAGGAGTATGAAATTTAATTTTCCTTAAAAAAAATAATTTCACAGTTTCTGACTCTGCGGCCTACGGCCGCCCTTTCAGTTTGGCCGCCTTTGTGCCTGCACTCGCCTAAGGGCGGGTATTATAAAACTGCTTTGACAGTTAATTTGAAGTTAACTTTTTGAATTACATGTATTTTCAGAAGTTAACTTTAAGTTAACTCTCAAAGTAGTTTTATAATACCCGCCCTTACTCATTTTTACTTTATTTTCAAAACCCGCTTAGGACTTTTATTTTACGTGTTTTTTCAACCTGTAGACATAAAATTTGTTGGGATTGGTAAAATCTTTGACCTTCGCCAGACATTCCTATTACGCGTCAGTCATCGGCGAGGCACAAGAAAATGGCCGATGGCGATGTTTTCAATTTGATTGATATAGTTGCCTATAATTCCTACATTCTTTTTATAGAAGATAATGAGAACTGGGCAAGAGATAATCCAAAACAAAAATCTAGAAAAAAAGTTCTTCTAAAATGCTTAGGCAAGCTGTTGTGTCAAATTGATATGGGTAATCGCTCAAGCTATAGAGGACTTCAAAATAAATATATAGCTACTTTGAAAATTTGTTTTGAATAAGATACTGAATTTTTTCACTTTTTTTCTACAAATCACGTACTTGTTGAGTCGCTAACCCCCCTGTTCCGAATTTAAGAAAACCTGGGGTCAGTCGCTAACCCCCCTGTTCCATGTTCTCCGGGTACCCAGTCAGGGTCCCAGTGCCACTGTTAAGATGACCGACTGGTCAATCGCTTGAAATTGGCTTAAGGGCCGTTTTCTCAATAGCGAGTCACCCTCGGGTTAAACTTAGTTCTCATGGAGCGAAAAATCGCGTTGCGGGTGCCGAATATCGCTTTCCGCTTGAGAAGTAATTTTTGCCGGCCACATGAAGCAAGATTCCGGAAGCGGATTTTTAGTTATAGGATTTTTACGCAATGTTTAGGATGACGTCACATTTAGTAAATTTCTGCTGCAAATCTAACAAAACTAAAAGTACATCTTAACGCATATAAAGTAGGGGAATTTCAGATGTTTCTGGTTGGCAACGGCGCGCGATGTTGCATGATTTAGGGCGGGTATTATAAAACTTCTTTGAGAGTTAACTTAAAGTTAACTTCTGGAATTACATGTAATTCAAAAAGTTAACTTCAAGTTAACTGTCAAAGCAGTTTTATAATACCCGCCCTTAAATGAACATTTCCAAATAAATAACGCATGTCGATTCATTTCGTTATTTTTAGCTGTCAGTGGTCTTGATAATTCATTATGACATTCTGGTAAATTATAAGAAAACAAATAAAGTCTGTTTTTTTTTTTAAAGATAATTCCCCAAGTCAAAAATCTAGTAACTATGTTGGCAACATAAGCCTTTTCTACATAAAAAATTTGAAAACATTGACAATTTTACATTGTATTGCCAACATAATGTCATTTTGACTTTTATCTTTAAAGAAAAAACAAACTTTACGCATTGGCAACATTGTCAGTCCTTTTTCTCTGACGGCATCCTAAATATAAGGTAAAAAACCTATATATTTAAGGTATTCCACATCATAATTATTAGAGCATTAGAGTTTCGCGCAACTGAACTTTTCTCTTGCTCTCTCAAGCACCAGCAATTTTATGGGTGCATCAAAAACACGATGCGGTGCGTTCCGGTGACAGAACAGTTGTTTGGAGCACCAGAGTGTGAAGCTACGGGTGTGGAGCACCTCAAAATTCGTCACTGGATAGCGGCTATGCTTTAGCAAAGGAATGCACCCTAAGGACACTACACTACACAGAATCCAGGATATTACACACTACTGAAGGTTTCCTCATTCAAGTATATACACAGTACTTATATATCGTGTAGCACCATTGGCGACGTCATTAGCTGTTCGCGCAAGCAGCCATAGTTAAAAAATTTAAAGGATAACGCACACCTAACATGGAATTTTTGGGCTCTATGGATTTTGCCCATTTTTTGATATGTTGTAGAGGATTTAATTCTGAACAACCTTTAAATGGGACGAAATCTTGTAGGTACTATGGTCTTTGAGATATGAGCGTTAGAAGAGGAAATTTTTTGCGACTTTTTGTGTGGAGAGTATATGAGATACTGATGCTACTGGTGTTTATCAGTCAAAATATTGACAGGTTCACATATTTCACGTCACTCACAAATTAATGTCAACATAAGTTAAGGCCGGAACCGCACTGGGGTTAATGTTGGCACTAGTGCGGTCTCGGCCTTAGCTTATGTTGACATTTGTTAGTGACGTGAAATATGTCGACCTTTCAAAATTTTGACTGATAAACACCAGTTTTTCGTATACTCTCCACACAAAAAGTCGCAAAAAAGTTCATCTTTCAACGCTCATATCTCAAAGACCGTAATACCTACAAGAGTTCGTCCCATTTAAAGGTTGTTAAGAATTTAATTTTATGATTAAGGGCGGGTATTATAAAACTACTTTCAGAGTTAACTTAAAGTTAACTTCTTGAATTACATGTAATTCAAAAAGTTAACTTTAAGTTAACTGTCAGAGCAGCTTTATAATACCCACCCTAAAAATAATTATATTGATTTGATGAGGCTAGGCAAAGAGGAAGATGTAAATGAGATCTAAAAAAGAGTTGTTTGAGGGGGTGTGACCCAAAAATGAAAGTTTTAGTGCAAAAAAACCTAAGAACAAATATTCAAACCGCATCTTAGCTACGATGAACCGTTTTCGAGTTAGGGCGGTTTAACGTGACGAACGTCTAGGCTGTGACGTCACATCGGCTTCGGAGGCACAGTTAAGACACGTGTAAAATTTTTCAAAACAAGTCAACGATCTCACTTTAGAGCGAATTACAACCACTTATAGTATACGGCACGGTCACTGACGACTGAACAAACAGAAGTCTGCGATTTCGGCGGTTAACCGGTGTGACGTCACAAGTTTCCGCAAAATGTATCTTCATAAGGGATTTTTTCGGATACAGTTTTAAATATAAGACTGCGGTTTTTATGAGAGATCTTAGATTTTTATTGTTGATTGAAGTAGCTTAAGTTGTTTTTTCGGGTCACAACACCCCCTTTAGGTAATGGAGTGAAACCAAATATGCATAAACAAAAGTCAACGCAATCGTAACCTGTGGTACAAACACCTTACGCCAAGGCCAAGGTTCCTAAATTTGTTGTCTGGTAATGGGTAACTTGATGACGCATCTGGGGTGCCTTATGGAGATTTGCATTACGTTGAGGCACCCCAAATGACGACAGCGCAGACGAGAAACGACACGCTGTTACGTCGTCACTGGTGCTTTGGCATAGTGGGGAGCGTGAGATTTGAACTACACAAGCGGGTTAAACATAACTCCAGGGTAAACACAGCAACGTTGAGCTGTGTAGCAACTGCACACGCTTACCCTGGAGTTAAAAGGTCTGTTTCTGCAGTAATCACAAACCAGTCAGTGAATTTCATTGGTTACAACTAGTTTTCTGACTCGTTTCTGACTGTTTCCAACCAATGAAATTCGCTCTGAGTGGTTTGTGATTTCTACAGAAACAGACCTAAAATCCATCCGGAGGTGACTCGCTATTAAGAAACCGACCCTAGGACTGCTTATTGAGCTGAAAGTGTCTGGATGTCAGCCTCAGACCTCCACTCTTGGCGTAAAATGCAATATCCGAGTTTAATATACTATAGGTCAAAAAAATGAATTCCTAAACGTTGAAATCACCTTTTCTACAATTAAAACCGACCAAATAAATTTACTCACAAGACAAGCAGAGCCCAAATCGCAAGCAATCCATAGAGGTCTGCAAGTGACGTCACCACTATCAGCTGCCGATACTGGTGACGCCAATCGCAGATCAGCTGCCGCTCGGATTGTTGGAAGTCATAGGGTGTCGAACCGTTGCGGACGTCATGAACGGTTTCGTCAGCTCAGGTGCTTGTGCCAGCGGTCGTTGTTTAGAATATACATTTAGTTTGCATCTTCCTCTTTGCCTATTATGGTAATCAAAATTAAATAATGTTTTTCATTATAATTTATATATTAAACTACGACCGCTGGCGCAAAAAGCTAACGACACTATTGATGACGTTGGCAACGGTACTACAACAGCATTAGTTGTATTCCTTTCAAGAGTTTGAAACACTCGAGCTACTCGCTTCGGTGTTTCGTAGCCCCCGATTTGCAGGGAACAGATGCGTGGTGCAACAAACACTTTTCGAAAGGAATAAGCGCGTGAAGCCCCGGAGCTGTTCCGGAGCTCCTCCTAGGTGTGAAAGGAATACAACTATTATAACCTTGATTCCAAAAATCGAGGCCGATGAGCAATCCTGTAGTAGTTTGTAATATCCTTGAATGCACCGGTCTTTGGTCGCGTTCCCCAACATTCAACATGTTGAGAGATTAGTCAGCGACTTTGTTGAAAACAGATGAAAATCATCATTAGGCCAATCAAAACTGTTCTGCCTTGTGGATTCCACTTGTTGGAACAAAGCCACTTTACTAATCACTCAACATGTTGAGTGCTGGTGAACACCAAGGATGATACACACTACTACTACAAGATGGCTTATCCTCAGCTGGGTTCGGCTATTCAGCGCGGAGTTGGAGTGGTGTGAACAGAGCTAATGGAGTCACCCCTAATAAGGTGTAAAAAGCAATACCCGAACCTTAACCCGAACGGCTGGAGTGGAAATGGAGTCACTCGGAGTGAGCATGCCGAACCCACCTCTCATAAGGCCCGTGTGTAACAAACCCCCCCCCTTCCCAAACAACCAGTTGTGACGTAAGCAGCACGGCGTTTCTCGCCTTAGTTATGACGTCGGCAATGGTTGAAAACAGTTAAAAACCAATATGGCGGCGATTACCAAAAACGAGGCCGATAAGCACTCCTTTACAGTGATGTGCCTGTAGACAATGTCAACGTAAACAATTGATTGTCTACGCGTAGACAATTCGAATTGTTTATGTGAGCATTTGTCTACACATTGTCTACATGCGGCGTAAACAATAACTTATTTTAAAAAATTCGAAAAGAAATATCAAAAGTTACTATACTATCACTTCGATATCAGCATTCACTGATTACAAATATATCAGGAAAACCAATAATAAAAAAAAATAATTTAAAAAAAGGAAAGTGTGAGGTTAGAATTAAACGTCATTTATATTATTTTACATTGTTGACACGTTGTCTACATTGTCTACATTATCTACACGTAAAGTAGACAATGAAAGTCTACGTGTAGACGCACATCCCTGCTCCTTTATAGAATTCTCCTTAACCCTTTTCACGTGGCTCCGATTTAACAAACCGCAACATACCGCTCAAATTCGAGTGGTAGGTATCCACACGTCACTTTGTAACTGGGTTAGAAAACCGGAGTCACATGAAAAGAACTCTTGGATGAGCACGACCATTGATAATGACAATTGACACTTCTCAACACAACCTCACTTTTGTTCTGTTACTTCTTCCAATCTTAACGCGGCGTCCTTAAAAACAAATTTCAGTCATTCATTAATTTAGCCCCCAAAAAGTTGCTTAAATCCACACAAACATGGTAAAACTTACTGCCGAATTGATACAAAACTCAATGCAATACATAAATCCAGTCAAAGACCGTGAGCTGGACCTACGAGGCTACCGAATTCCAGAGATTGAAAATTTGGGGGCAACGGGCGACCAGTTCGATACCATTGACTTCTCGGACAACGACATTCGTAAGATCGATGGTTTTCCTTACTTGAAACGTCTTAAATGTCTTCTTTTAAACAACAACCGCATCATGCGTATTGCTGATCACTTGGACGAGTACATTCCAAATTTGGAATCGCTTATTTTGACCGGAAACCAAATCGAAGAACTCGGAGACGTTGAACCTTTGGCTACTTTGGAAAAACTAACCACTTTGAGCCTAATGCACAATCCCGTAACAGCCAAACAACATTACAGGTTATACCTGGTTTACAAGTTGCCCCAGCTCAAACTGCTTGACTTTAGAAAAATTAAGCAGAGGGAGAGAGACGACGCCAAGGCACTGTTCAAGAGCAAAAAGGGAAAAGAGATTCAAAAAGAAATTATAAAAAGATCAAAAACTTTTGTGCCTGGAGGTGATATGCATAATATTGCAAAGAGCAGAGGCTTGTCAGATGAGGAAATCAGGAAGATTCGTGAGGCGATTAACAGAGCAAATTCCCTGGAGGAAGTTGAAAGGTTACAGAAAATTCTTCAATCTGGCCATATACCTGGTACTGAGCAAAATAATGGAGAAACTAACGGAGACTCGATGGATTTTGAATAAAAGCTCTGGGTAAAGTATTCCTAAAGGGAGTTCATTTAGTTTTAAGTTCTTAAATTTGTCATTGATTAGCTGATGAGAACATTTATTTGTAAATTCTTTGTAATCTTCACTAAAAAGGTTGAGAAGCGATACTAATTACACTCAGGTTTTGTAATAAAAATTATTTTGAACATTCAAAATTGTTTATTTTGTGTTTTTTGTAGCTTGCTTTACTTTTAAGTTTTGGCATTCTATATAGCATGACCATGATCTCGACCATGATTTTTGTGGTCTTTCAAAGCTGTCAAGAAACATGTCAATGGTTTGAAATTGCCTTGGAAATTGCAGTCCAAATTATAGTCTGTGCTTGAAGCAAAATGAAAAAACTAAAGAAAAGAAAGTCCAAAAACCTTTCCGGGAATAAATCGACTAGTAATGTGTTGTTCCGATTTGGACTGAGCCCTTTGGTAAACGACAAATTGGTTTGTGTGAAAAAATGGAAAAATTGGTCAAATAATAAGAAACAGAAAATGCCTGAGTGGGATCATTTTGATGAACCCCAAGATTTCCAGAAGGGTGTTAAATTGTTGGCGAATTTTATGGGTATTTGTGCAGATGATTATTTTTGAATATAATTTTATTGAAATATTTTTTTCAGGGTTTATTTTTAGTGTAGTGATTTTGCTTGAGAGAAGCATTGGGGCTTAGAACCACTGATCTCAAAGATAAATGGATAAACAAAGTGTTTTTTTAATGCTGCTAATTCACGAAGTCATAAAGTAAACAACTAAGAAAGCTGTGAGCGTGCGTAGTAGATACATCTACTGTGCGTGCGCAAAATATAGCCAATGAATATGAAAGATATTTCAAAGGTTAGAACAGGGCCGGTATTCTCATTCCCGGAAACGCTCACCGCTTTTCAGTCGCTCGCCACTTCTAATGTAAATTTACATTAGAAGTGCCGAGCGACTAGAAAGCGGTGAGAGTTTTCGAGAACGAGAATACCGGCCCAGGTTTTCAAAGGATAAGACACTGCGCAGGCGTTAGGCTGTTCCGTTGCATAACTGTTCGTAGAATATTGAAACTAAATTTTCGCACAAGTTTAGGCAATTAAGCCATACAATTGTTTATTAATTTATTTTTGGGATCAGTGCTTAGAACCCATGTTCTTATATTTCTCCTTTCTATCTTGGCATTTGGCAAGCCTACACTATAAAGATAGTGTAGTGTAGATACTACACAGTATTTTAGAAACCTTCAACTGTATTTTAGAATAGTCAAATAGTCATTTGTATTTAGGAAATTTATTCCATTATTGATATGGGGATTTCTTAAATAAAAATGACTATTTCAAAATGCAATTGAAGCTTTCTAAAATACTGTCGGAAAAGGTGTGGTTCCTAGGTATACAAGGTGTCCGTTTTTGGAAGTAGACCATTTGGATCTTGCAAATGGTAAGAGATACAAGATCACCTAAATTAGGGCAAAGTGGCGTAATTTGATGCTCAATGAAACGCCGGTATGCCATTTGATAAACACTTACAGAGATATTCGGGAAAACTGAAATTTCACAAACAAGTTTTTATTTTTTTCCGGGCATATTTGAAGAGCTTTTTTTTAAAGGAATTGCGCTTCATCACTGCCACTTTTTTTCCTCTACAAGATGGAACCATTAAATTGCATTAACTTTCAAATCTGACGTTTTGTGACATGACGTGAAATTTCGGTTTTTCCCAAATATCCGAAATTGTTCGGAATTGATCAAATGGCAAAACGGCGTTTCATTGAGCTTGAGCATTAAATTACGCAACTTTGCCCTAATGCAACCGATCTCGGGATCTCCTATCTCTTAGCGTTTCCGACATCCCAATGGTTGACCGACAAAAACGGACACCCTGTATAATATTGTTCTATTTTTGCGTGTGCTCTTCCAGTGTCTTTATCTTTGTATTTTATTATAATTCATCTTCAATCCTGTTTTTGTCAATTTATGATCCCGTTCTTCAATAATCATTATTCTTTGTAGTAGCTTTTCTTCTTAGTCTATCATATACAGGGTGTCTTAAATCCCATTGGTAGGCATATCGGAAAAGGTAAGAGATACGGGGGCGGTTAGAGTAGAAAAAAGTTGTCATTTTCGGAGGTTATATATGAGTCTTTATTTAGCTTCAGCAACTAATTCACAAATGAATCACTAAATATAATTACATTTGCAACAATAAATAAATTAATAAATAAATAAATAAACATTTACTGGTCCTAGTTAAGATATTATACATATCATGTCGGTAAAAATAAAAATAATCATAAAAGCAATAATAGTTATTAATGATACAAGTTCGATATGAACGCCATAATGAAACGCGTGTAACGTTAAACCACGAGGCGTCAGCCGAGTTACACAAGTTTCATTAATAAAGTTCATATCGCACATGTATCATTCAAAATTTAATCTACAATGGTCCAAATAGATTTGATTTGCCTTGAAATAGCAAAAACTTTTCAAATTAAAATTTGAAATTTAGCAGGTGCCCGTACTAGTCGAGAACCTGCTTGTTGGTTTTTAGAATTTTGACTTTGGCAGCTTCAATATTGGAGTCCATTTTTGTGCCATAAATTCAATTTTATAGTGGAAAATAATATTATTATTGGTGATTCTGAGTTCGAAAGTGTCTCTTCGAATATAGAGACAGCATTATTGAAAAGGTTCTTCTGGCAACTAACTTTCTTTTTGTATATTTTTCATTTCAAAATTTGGGTGTTATTATGAATTCTTAAACGCACTAGTGCTATTATGAAGGACCTAATGACATTCAAATGACAATGCTAAATGTGTCATAATGACACCGACGTAGATTAAAATATAAAAATCACAGTAAAAAAAAACAGATAATATATAAAAAAAACAATACAACACAGCCAAAAACACACATTTACTCACTTAAAATCTATTTATGACATTCACCCAGCAAAAGAATCCTCAATTTCCTTTTAAATGAAATAAGATTGTCAGAGCTTTTAACATTCCCTGGCAGATTGTTATAGGCAACAAATCCCTTATGAAAGACGGACCTCTCTGAAGATCTTTTAGATTTTACAGTTACATGTAGGTCGGTTCTTGTACGAGTATTATAATTGTGAACATTTTCATTATAAACTAATTTTGTATTGAGATATTCAGGTGTCATACCATTTCTCATTTTAAAGATAAATATCATTGCCTGAAACTCCAAAAAATACTCGACCGATAACCAGTTCAAGCTTCGTAGAAGTGTCTTTATCGGAGTATCCCTAGGCATACCTAGTAGAATATGCATGGATTTATTTTGTAATTTTTGCAAGCGATCTATTTCATTTTTGTTGGCCATGTATAAAACTGTAGATGCGAATGTTAGGTGGGGTAGAATAATAGTATTATAAACTATGATTTTTGACCATTGAGAAAGAAACGGTGCCACCCTTGCGAAGAAGTTAGTATTTTTAGCAATTTTATTATTTATATAAGTGAGATGTTCTTTAAAATTCATATTTCGGTCTACTATTATGCCTAAATATTTGATTTTTTCTACTGATTCAATAGTACAGTTGCCAATATTAATAGAATATGCATTTTTAAAGTCATTATACTCCAAGTTATTACACATTAACATAAATTTTGTTTTTGATGCATTAAGTTTAAGTAAATTAGCATTACACCATTTATATATGTTGTCTAGTTCCTTATTTATAGTTTCTACAAGTAGTTTGAGATTTTTTGTACAGAAATAGATCAGAGTATCATCAGCGAATAAATGAAACTGACAGTTTTCAATTACAAGTGCTATATCGTTAATGTACAACAAAAAAAGAAGTGGACCCAGAGTACTTCCCTGAGGGACCCCATTATCATTCACGATTTCAGCTGATTCACTCTTATCTATTTTTGTGACCTGTTTTCTATGAGTCAAATAATCGTTGAACCATTCCAGTACTCTTCCCTCTATACCGTATTTTTCTAGCTTCGTCATCAACTTCCTTCTATCAACTGTTTCAAATGCACGCTGTAGGTCCAGGAAAACCGCACCAATGAGGAAATCATTATCCCTTTTTTCTTTCCATTCAAAAATTATATTTTGTATAGCAGATTCACAACTGTGTCCCTTGCGAAATCCTGATTGGTTTAAAACAAGTATATTATTTTCTGTAATAAATTGCGTTATCTGATCATATACTATACGCTCAATAAGTTTTTCAATGGTTACCAACATATTTATTGGTCTTAAATCACTGGCTTTATTTGAATTCGCAACTTGGTATAATGGTGGAAACCTTTAATTGTGTAGGGAATTTACCTGTCTCTAATGAGGTGTTAATGAGATTCAAAAGAGGTTTTTCGATACTATTGTAAATATTTTTTAAAAATTCCGATGTAATTTCATCAGGACTACCCTTGTTTGGTAAGCTAAAAACTGCTTTTTGTAGTTCTGGATAATCAATTAGCCTGAAGTTAGTTAACAAGTTCGACGGTGTTTTAACAAGTTTTTTATTTTTAACTATTTTGTTGGTATCTATTTCACTAACAATGTTGTTTATGCTATCAACATAAAATTCGTTAAGTTTATTACACATTTCCCCAGGGTCGGTTATTTCATCATTATCAATATCAACTTTTTGTATTTGGTTACTTTTTTTTGAAGTTATTAATGGCTTTAATGTATCCCACATTTGTTTAGGATTATGCCTGCAGCCGTCAATTTTATCCTGGTAAAATTTCTTCTTTTCCTGTCTCATGATTTGTACTGCCATATTTCTGTTTTGCTTATAGATGTCCTTATCTCTTATAGTTCTTCTTCTTTTGTAATCTTTGTAACTCTTATCCCTGTTAAATACAGCCTCTTTTACTGTGTCGTTCCACCATTCTTTATATTTCCCTTTTATTAGTACTTCTTTTAAAGGGGCAATTTCATCTAAGGTATTTTTTATAGTGCTATATAGGGAGCGGTATTTATCATCTATATTACTGTGTGAATAGTTCCAATTGGTCCTGCTTAGTTTTTGATTGAGTTCCACATAATTGATCTTTCCACGTGTAAAAATTTGTTTATCTGTATCATTTAAACTATTTATTCGCATATTTATTGAGATAATGTAATGATCGCTGATTTTTGGGGTTGAGTGAACGTTACACTCGATATTCAAGTCATTAGAAAATACCAAATCTATTATACTACCTCCTGCCTCAGTAGGATGTGTGATCGAATTAACTAGTTGGGAAAATCCGAAATCCAACATAAAGGCCTGCAACTTAATTTTAGATGTTTTATCACCCAACCAATTAATGTTGAAATCCCCAACAACCAGGACTGGATAGTTTTTATCCGCTATGCCAGTACACCAGTTTTCAAAATTATTTAAAAAATCAGCGTCACTACTACTTGGTGAATGGTACAAACACGCCACAACATATTTTCTTTTATTAATAAATAAAGTGATATTTGCCAGCCAATAGTTCTTTAAATATGAATATTTTGCAACAGCCCGAATTTCGACATCATTTCTTACATATATTACCACTCCCCCTGTATGTCTATTGACACTGTCAACTCTTACAATTTTATATCCGTTAATAGAAACTTCGTTATCACCAACTTCGCTAGTAACTCTCGTTTCACTTAAGCACACAGCAAGTGGCTTGGAGTCAAATATAAATTTTGAAATTTCGTCGAATCTAAATAGCAAACTCTGTGCATTTAATAACAGTACATTGTTTTTGTAGGATTCTCTAAAAAAGCCCCAGATTGACTATTCTTTCCTTTATCACATAAATCATTTAAAATTTGCAAAGAACAATCTTGATGATCCTGTTTAGTATGGCCATTAATATCATTGCTAAAGTTCTGGATCAATTTACCATCATTAGTTGTATCGTCATTTGGTAGCTCAGCATGATTAGAATATTGAATTATTTTTTGTTGGTTTTTAGGTAGTTCTTTACATATGAATTTCTTAACATAGTCCAAAATCTTCAATTTTCCTATATATTTTAAATGCAGCCCATTTCTAAACCTAATGTATGAGTTATTTATGACAGAGTTTATATTAACAAATGTTACATAGTTTTGAGTCGCATGATACAAATACTTATTAAACTCATTTATGATATTATTCAAGACCGTTCTATTTTCCCATAGTGGAACTGAAAAGAGAATTATATTGGTTAGCTGACTTACTTGATTGATTGCATTCACGACACTATCTTGAGTTTTGTTGCCCTTCAAGCAGTCAGTCAAACCTCCCATAATGATAACATAATCCTCAGTGGTAAAATCCTTAGTGAGATTTATTACATCATGCACAATATCACCTAGCTCAGCATTATGCTTTACGAATGATGTAATTAAAAATTCCTCTCCTACACTCTTAGTGAGAATATGAGAAAAATCCGAAATGTTACTGTCTCCCAGCAGTAGTATTTGTTTTTTAATTTTGTGTACATTAGTCTGCACTGACTGGTTACTTTGAGCTATTCTATGCACACTAATTTCGCTACTCTTGTTACTACCAGTACACTTAGTGGGAGTTACTGATTTTAGATGTTTCTTCGAATTTTTGCCAGTGGAAGTAATTGATTTTGAGTGTTTGTGTGAATTTTTCCTGTCTGTTTCAATATCAGCTGCCATCTCATCTCTATGTTGCTTCACCGAGTTGTCATCCATTTCTTTCCTCAACATAAGATTCTCTTCCAATAAAACTTCTATACTTGTCATACTATTTTTCAAGTCGTGTAGATATTTAAAATCGTTTTCCAGTTTTTCCATGCATTCTTTCAGCTTTTTAATATCGTTGTTTAACGTAGTGTTCAGTCCTGTGGCTTCACTGTTTTCATCACTGAGCCTCCTAACATATTCTTCCTGCTCCCTGGCGATTCTTATGTAGTTCTGTTCCATATAGTCTTTTTCTTCAAGTGTTTTTTTATGCAGCAGCAAAATGTTATTTAACTCCTCCTCTGTTCTCTGAGCTTCTTCAATAATAACTTCATTTTCTGCTTTCAGTTTCTGGATATGTTTACTTTTCGCTTCCGAGTCTTCTGATAGATCTGATATCGTTTTTTCTAAGATGCTATCTTGGTCAATTTCAGACTCTATTTGTTCCTCTAGGTTGCAGCACGTAATTTGGTAGCCGCCCAAAAATCTGTATTTATGCTTGTCACGCTGAACACAAGATTTGTGAAAAATTTTAGAGCAAGTTTTGCATACATAGTATGAAGGAACAGGTTTTAATCTACAACATCCAAACTTGTCCATAATTATTATTGTTGGACTTAGCGGCTAGCGCATCCGCCACTTTGTCCTGGTCGCTGCTAGAAGCAATCTTGGTACACCGCGTAAGGAACTTTGCCCCGGTCGGCCCGTAGAAGGCTTGTCCCTATCGGTACCTTGACGCACAAAAAAGTGGATACAGTGTTTATGTTTATAATGGATCTTTTGTATTCGTATTTCGTTTGTAAATACGATATCATTCATAAAAAATAAAAAATAAAATGCACTTCTTACGCAACTGCCACAGATACATCGACTGTCCAAAAATCAAAATTTTTTAATGAATTCTACTGGGAAAATTAACGAAAAACTTTTCACCACAATTTAATCGTTGTTGTCACGAGAGTCACGCAGATATTATTGAAAATATATTTTCATTGTTGCCAAATTTCTATTAGTTTCTGAGATACAGGGTGATTTTTAGCAAAAAAAAACCTGAAACTGTTTTTTTACAAAACACCATGTATCTCAGAAGCTAATAGAAATTTGGCAACAACGAAAATATATTTTCAATAACCCTTGAAAATGACAACTTTTTTCTAATTTAACCCTCCTCGTATCTCTCACTGTTTCCGATATACCAATGGTGGCCCTTGATATTTTAGACACCCTGTATATGTTCAAGATTCGATCCTTCATTTATTTCTTTAGTCGATTCTATTTTGTTACGGTTTTTTATAGTCTAGAGCCAGTGCCAAAAAAAACTCTCTCAATTTACTAAAACTAGTTTTTAGACAGTCGATTGCAGTAGTTATGTACAGTCATGAGCACAAAATGTGGGACACCCGACTGACAGGTCTTGTCATTTTTCGCTATTTTGCGTAAATCAGTCTTTTCTCTATAATCGATTTTTTGTCAAATATGACAATCTCTGTCATTGACGTAGGTATAGCTGGTGAGCCCGTTTTACAATAGGAAAAAACGGGTGTCCCACTTTTTGTGCTCACGACTGTACATAAATATACCTCGGTCAGTCAAGCGAACCTTGGAACAAGGACCTAAGAAGCCTTGTTAAAGTTGTTGAGATAACTTAGGTAATGCAACAAATTTACTAAAGCTAAAAATCGTTATACATATTATACAGGGTGAGTCACTAAGCGCGCGGTGGTCCATACCTTCTATACTAACGGAGATCGAAGAAAAACCTAAATACAAAACCTGTGGATAAACATGAGTACTACATTCCTAGATTATTTTCCAGTATACATGGTGGCCCAATAAGTAGTTGTGACACAAAGTTATGTTTTTTCAAATGACTCGCCCTGTGTATTATGACATTCTGGATTCTGCGGAAAATTATTGACATATTTCATGTACAATGTCATATACCTATCTTGAACTGTTTCGGATATATTGACAGTTGAAAATTGACTTTTCTGCATCTTTGACAGACTGTACGTTAAACCTGAACGGGTAATTTTACAGCAAACGTGATAAAACAATCTTGTCTTAGTTTTTCATAAACTATAATTTGACACTAACTTTGAATTTAATCCATAATTAAAAATTCTGCTTAAATTATTAATCTTCGGTTAAATTCAAAGTTGGTGTCAAATGATAGCTTATGAAAATCTAGGACAAGAATGTAAAATCGGATTTGCTGTAAAATCAACCGTTTAGGTTTTACAGTCTGTCAAAGATGCAAAAAAGTCAATTTTAAACTGTCAATATTTCCGAAACAGTTGAAGATAGGTATATGACATTGTACATACCGGGTGATTGTCTATATTTTGCACCCACACCTATCTCACCTGTTTGAAGAGATACCCAGAAATGTCAAATGTGAAAGTTGTAGGTAATAAAAAGTTTTCAATGATGTTAGTTACAAGTATACAGGGTGTGTCACAAAAGTGTGGCGAAGCAAAGTTATTGTCCCATTGGATTAACCTTTCAAACCTGATTCCAAATATACTAGGCTTATTCCTCATAGTCCAGCCACTGAGTATACGATTTTGAAGATGTAAAATGGATTTTTTTATATGAATGATTACCTTTATATTTTGTTATTGGTTTCTATACTTCACCTTTTTTAATAAAATATGCAATTATTCCACCCCTTTTTGTCCTATTTGCTCCTGGACTATAAGGAATAAACCTAAAAAACCTAGTATACAGGGTGGGGCACGAAAAACTTCCCACCCAGGTTTTCTCAGGTGTTAGGTTTGATTAATCAAAATTCGCTCGGACACGTCAATTTTTGTTTTTTTGGGGGACCCATTTTACTTCCAGCCTGTCAACCCCTGAGCGGGGATGACAGGTACACCCACAATTTTAAATGGAAAGCGGGGTCGAGTGATACGTCATTTTGATAGCTATTCTCATTGAGACTATAACCCCGAAGTTTCAAGCTGCTACTGTTCACCCTGCCGAAATGGCGGCTTGTCAAAGTTAGAAAAAATGCTTCTTTCGATTATCTGAACTGTGTGTTTTTTACCTCATATTAACAAAACAACAGATTTTTTAATAAAAAGTAATAAAATAACACTGCTATTTAATTTAAGTATTGTCATCCAACAGTTCAGTTCAATATGGTTCATATTTATTCACTTAAAAAACCTGAACTGGGACTCTTAGTCCAAGAGCCGGCAATACTAACGGGTATGTGATCGTTGCAATGGATAATTTCTACATAAAACAATAATAGTTCATAGTAACCTTTAAACCAAATGGATGGGTTGCCTCGATTCTCATGGCCGTAAAGTTGTTTTATAAAAAGATACTTCAAGAACCATAAGCGCAACAAATAAGAAGTATCTTGCGGTGTAGGGGGTTCTCATCATATGCGGCAAACACTTTATTAACACAATTTCATGTTTCTTTTTTTGTCCAAAGACCTACAGCCGTATGCAAAATCCTCTTCACAGAGTCCTCTTTTAACTATAAATGTGACTGTGAGTGTGAAGGCTGTCACTTTCAAAAATATTTGTATTTACCGAGCAAAATAACGCGTGCGCTCGACTTTCAATGAGGGTTGCCATCATTTCCGGCCATCAAAATCGAGGCCACCGTATGTATTATTTGAGAAGACTTATTAAAGAATATATCTACCAATTTTCAGCTATTGAAACGATAACATTGTTCCTTCGGAAAAAGAGGGGTACTTTACGCCCAGCCATCAAAGGGTTGCGGCCATGAGAATCGAGGCCACCCATCCATTTAGTTTAAAGATAACTATGAGCTATTCTTTTATGTGAAAATTATCCATTGCAACGATCACATACCCGTTAATATTGCCGGCTCTCCTACTATTCTGTAACGAATAGAGATATTTTCTCTATCTCTATTGACGTCTCCTCTCTATTGATTTCGACAAGACGGAAGAAGACAGTAAAATCTATTTTTTTTTTAAAGATAAAAGTCAAAATGATATTAATGAAGAATGAAAAAAATGATATTATGTTGGCAATACAATGTAAAATTGTCAATGCTTTTAATTTTTTTATTTAGAAAAGGCTTGTGTTGCCAACATAGTTACTAAATTTTTGACTTGAGGAATTATCTTTAAAAAAAAAACAGACTTTAAGTGCCATAGCGATAGGGATAACGATCTCTATCCGTTACAGAGTTCCAGCCCTGTTGTTTTGTTATTATCAGGTGAAAACCACACAACTTTGACAAGCTGCCATTTCGGCAGGGTACTTAAATAGTAGCAACGTTAAAGTTCGGGGATATGATCTAAATAAAAATAACTATCGAATGATGTATCACTCGACCCCCTTTTCTATTTGAAATTTTGGGGGTTCCTGTTACCCCTGCTTAGGAGTTGACAGGTAGGGGGTGAAAACACCAATAAAATATGTCCCCAAAAAAACAAAAGTTGACGTGTCCGAGCGATTTTTGATTAATCACCTAGCACCTGAGAAAACCTTGAACCTGGGTGGGAAGTTTCTCGTGCCCCACCCTGTATTTGGAATCAGGTTTGGAAGGCTAATCCAATGGGACAATAAGATCGGGGTTTTCCGTTTAAAAAAGTATAACTTTGCTTCGCCATACTTTTGTGATACACCCTGTATACTTGTACCTAACATCATTGAAAACTTTCTGATATTACCTACAACTTTCACATTTGACATTTTTGGGTATCTCTTCAAACAGGTGAGATAGGTGTGGGTGCAAAATATAGACAATCAACCGGTATATGAAATATGTCTAGAATTTTTCATAGAATCCAGAAATGTCATACTATACAGGGGCAGTCATTTAAAAAAAACATAACTTTGTATCACCACTACTTATTGGGCCACCCTGTATACTGGAAAATAATTTAGGAATGTAGAACTCATGTTGTATATAACATATAAATAACAGTGATGTTAGTCAGTCAAATAGATAGCGTAACCGTGCTGGTCAGTCAACCCGAATAAATCAAATCTATTACAAGAAATAGTAATATTTCAGGTATTCTTTCAATCTGAACAAACTGATCGAAGTCACTTGAGGTTTGTTTCAAATAATTGTTATCCGGCTTCACAACTATTTCATTGGCCCTAACTGTTTTTTTGACGATTCATGAACAAACCTTATGTGATTACAATCAGTTTGTTCAGAACCGAATTTTCGCGACGAATGTAGGTAATTCATCCAAGAACGAACCATAGTTCGTCTTGTGACGTCATGAGTTTGAACGCTGGCTAGAAGCTGCGTCCATGCTTCAGGCGAACTACGTTCAATATGACGTCATGAGTTTCTCGCAAAAGCGTTTGTGTTCATCAAATCATGGGAGTAGTTCGTCACGAAAATTCGGTTCAGATCGAAAGAATACCTGGATTCTGGATTATTATTAATTTATACTTCAACCTACAATTTTGAATTGTCACTGATTGTCTCTGTAACTCTAAAAAAAATAGCCCTACATGGAGCTGATTGACTAGCACGGTTCTGCTATTCAACTGAGTGTCTAACATCACTGTTATTCATGTGTAATATACAGGGTGTTTATTTTAAAACTTACCATCCCTATTATCTCGGAGGCGAAAAATTTTCGA